AAAGGGTAGGTAAGAACTACAAAAAAACCCACTTTATGATCACCTTACAAAATTTACTTTTATAGAAATTCCACAAATTGAACAACATTTTATAATTGGAAGACATGAAGGTATTTTTTTTCACCTTCCAGTATATTGATTGTTCAAAGAATTGTGAAATATTTTTCTTTTAGAGTATCCATTTAGGTTTCATTTCATTAGTTGCATTTCAGGGTAATATGTTGGATTCTGGCAGTCTTTTTAAGACTGATAAAATGTTGGAACTTAAAGATATATCAGAGGTAAGCCTCATTTTGTATATGTGAAAAAAAATGTGACTGGTGGAATAAGTCAACGATTTTAAGGGGAAGACACAACAGTTGTAAATTTTATGTACCTATGAATAGAATGTCAAAATATATGTAGCAAACAATGATAGAACTATAAGGAAAAAATAAATAAATTCATAATTACAGCTAGAGATGTCAGCATTCCTCTTTCAGTACATAATAGAACAATGGGAGGAAATCACTGACGCTATAGAAGACTTGACCAACACTATCGGCCAACTCGACCTGACGTTTGTAGAACACTCCACCCAAAAACAGCCGATCACACACACTCAAGTGCACGTCAAACATTCTCCAAAACAGACTACATCTGGGCGATAAAACAAATCTCAATAAGTTTATGACGATGGAAATTATACAAAGTATGTTGTCTAACCACGATGGAATGAGACTAGAAATCAATAACAGAAAGATATCTGGAAAATTCTCAAATATTTAGAAACTGAATAACATACTTCTAAATAACCCATGGGTGGGTCAAAGCAGAACCCAAAAAGAAAAATTAGAAAATATTTTAACTATATGAAAATAAAAGTGCTGTTTATTAAAACTTATGAGATTCAGATAAAGAGTACTCAGAGGGAAATTTATTACATTAAATTATATATTACAAAAGAAGAAATTCTCATATAGATAATATAAGTTTCCACCTTAAGACACTAGAAAGTTGCCCTGACTGGTGTGGCTCAGTGGATTGAGTACCAGCCTGCAAACCAAAGGGTCGCTGGTTCAATTCCCAGTCTAGGGCACATGCCTGGGTTGCAGGTGGAATCCCTGGTAGGGGGTATATGAGAGGCAACCACACACTGCTGTTTCTCTCCCTCTCTTTCTACCCCCTCACCTGTGTCTAAAAATAAATAAATAAAATCTTTAAAAACAAAAAAAGATACCAGAAAGTTAAGAGCAAATCAAGCCTAAATTAGGTAAAAAGAAGAAAATATTAAAGAGCAGAGATTAATGAAATAGAAACTATAAAAAGAGGGAAATAAATCAAAACTGGAATTTTTGAAAAGATTGATAATATTAAAAGCCTCTATCCAGATTAGGAAAAAAGAGAGAGAAGATACAAATTTTCAATAAAGGGATGAAAAGGCATTACTAGAATTTCTACAGACATTAATGGGATAATTAGGAAATACATATAAACAGCTCTGCCAATAAAGTTAATAACTTAGATGAGACAGATGCAAAGAAACAGCCTAACAATGTGCCACCCAATAGCTCTACTTCCAGGAACATGTGCTGAGATAACAAATTTAATATATGGACAAAGCTTCATGCCCCAGTATGTTTATTAAGTGATTATGTATAATAGAAAAGTGAAATCAACCTTAAGTTTCCAACAATAGGAGATTAGTAAAATAAAACTATGGTTAACTATAATGGTGATAATGATAACAGAAAATTTCCATATATAATGTTATACCAAAAAAGAAAAAAAAATTGTCAACAAATGGTGATCTCAATTTATAAAGTTATTTATGAGAACTAGAAAAAATTTACCTTTAACCTAGGCTATAATAGGTTTATTTCTAATTTGCTGTATTATTTACTCTCTTCTCAATTTTCTGTGTATTTTCCAAATTTGCTAAAAATGAAATATCAGTGCCATATTTCAACTGTCATATGCCAAGAAACTGTTTTTTTTTATATATTCCACTTTTTAAAAGATTTTATTTATTTATTTTTAGAGAGGGAAGGCAGGGAGAAAGAGAGAGAGAGAGAGAGAGAAACATCAATGTGCGGTTGCTGGGGGCCATGGCCTGCAGCCCAGGCATGTGCCCTGACTAGGAATCGAACCTGTGATGCTTTGTTTTGCAGCCCACACTCAATCCACTGAGCTATGCCAGCCAGGGCCAAGAAACTGGTTTTATAATTAAAACTATAAATTAATTCTTTTTCTGTGAACAGGAAAGTTGTAACTTGTGCTTGCATTCCAGTTGATTTTGCTTTAGAAATTTAAAACCATGCCTTTTGAGTAGGGTTCTACATCTTTGTGTAGTGTCCCCTTCCTCGGCCAGTGTGCTGTGAGGCTGTCTTTGCCCCGTCTGCTTCCTGCAGCCCCCACCTGCGTGTCTCACTGCCTTTCCCAGCCTGCATGTCAGTGGGCAAAATGTGAGTGTGTTTGTGTCCCCTTAAGTTTTCCTTTCTCTTATTGTCTCATAATCGCTAAAGCAGCTTTTACCAGGAACCCCATTCCTTATGCTTTTCTCTTTCATGCTTCATATAAAAGCCACGATTAAATGGAGATTGAGAGCACTGGTTAATAAAGTAACTCTCTTTTCATTTGTGCATCTTCCAGCTCTGCCCAGGCCGTTGGAACTCCACATCCGAACTGTGAGAGCCAGGCCCACTGCCCTGCCTCCAGTTGCCCAGGCCCAGCTCCTTCCACAGTCGCTGGGACACAGTGTACATCCCCTCCTTTTCAAAAGTCCTGTCGCTGGGACACAGTGTATATCCCCTCCTTTTCAAAAGTCCTGTAGCGAATGGCTTCTGGTTTCTTGTGAAATCCCCGTAAATCACTTGGTTAAAAACCTGAGGGCCACCTTCTTAAATAGACTTGAACTCCCTTTTTGGTACATGAAGGATAACGATCGTAAACCGTATGAGAGCAGAGTAAAGGGGCTTTTTGCAAATGTATATCAACATGTCCTTTTTGGTCTTCCTTTTGCATTTGCATAATACAAAACAAACAAGCAAGCAAAATATAACCAGAGACACTGAAATAAAGAACCAACTGACAGTACCCAGAGGAGAGGGAGGAAGGGGATAATGGGAGAAAGAAGGGGAAGGGTCGTCAGGGAACACGTATAAAGGACCCCTGGACAAAGCCAAAGGGGGGTAGGATTGAGGGTGGGAGGTGGGGTGGGAGGGGCAGGGGAAAGTGGTGGTGAGAAAATGGAGCCCACTGTACTTGAACAATAATAAAAATAAATAAGATTTTAGCCCACAAAAAAATAAAATACAATATAAACTTGGTACTTGGTATGGAGAACACCGCCTACCTCAGCAGCTTGTCCTGTTGCTCGAGGCTCTGCTGGACATGGGGCCGTGCTTGAGGAATCCGTTTGGGCCCCCCCGACCCGCAGTTGTCACACCTGGAATCTTTGGCAGCGTTCTTGATCCCCGCCCCTCCCTTGACCCCACAGTTATCCTCGACTGCAGTCTTCTAGCTGCTGTTCCCATGCCAGCGCCTGTGCCGCTCCAGGCTGTCCTCCTCCGAGACCAGCGGAATCTTTGAGAAATATAAATCGGAGCACGTCATTCCTCTCCCTAAAACCCCGACTTTCTGATTTATGTAAGAATGAAAGTCCCAAATCCAAATTTCACCTTGGGATCTCATTGTAACCTCTTTCCCCAGGTTCAGTCTTCCTGAGCCGTGGGGCCTGCCTTCGGTGTTTCAAACCCACCACACTTTCTTACCTCAGCACTCTCACGTGTGTCTGGGTCACCGTTCCCTGACCTCTGTCTTCCGCTCCCCTTACTTCCAACTTTCCCACCATCCACCCATAAGTTGTCACCTGGCTGATTTATTGATTTATACTCAGCATTCAAATACGGCTTTAAATGTCACCTCCCAGAGGGGCCTTCTGGACCACAATTCTAAATGTAGTTTCCTACTATTTTCTATTCTTCTTCTCATAGCACTTACAGTTTTTCATTTTATTGTCATTTATTTTATTATGTTTAAGGCCATTCTTTTCTGCAAGCTGGAAAATTTCATGACCATATACCTCAGTGTTTTGTTTATGGTTTGATCAGCACATAGTAGGTACCCAATAAATTATTGCTGAATGAATGAATGACTAAAAGAAAGAAAAAAATGAATTATGTAAACAATTAGAAAACATTCAAGAGAAAAAAAGTTACAACTTTACTGTCACAGAAAAATATATTAAAGCATCTAATTTTAATCATATTAGTAAAATTATTTGAAGTTATAATTCCAATTTTCAGCTAAGATTTGGGGAAAAGGACACATTCATGTAATCCATGAGGAAAGGCACCTTCTCTGTGTTCATTTTTGTTTATGTATTAAATATTTATTGAATGAGTAAGAGAAGTAATATAATCATGGGAAGCAGTCTAGCTCACTGTATTTAAAACATTGAATTGTTTTTATTGACCCAGATTTCCACCTAAGAATTTGTCACAAGGAATAGTCCTAAATATGGAAAAGGTTATATATTTAGACATATTTTTCACAGTGTTATTTACAGGAATAAAACATTGGAAACCACCTAAATGCTCAGTAAAGAATGCTATGCTAGCTAAATATAGTAAATATACCCACTAGATAGTATATGAGTAATCCAAATAGTAAAGATTAGGATAATATGATGACTTCAGAAATGTTCATATTATGAATGTAAATAAATGGACACTGAGTTTTATGACAATTTTTACAAATCCTACCCACAGGGAAAAAAAGACTGGAAAGAAATATGTCATGCTGTTAATGGCTATGGGTGATGTCCTTCTCTTTAAAAAAATTTTCTTGTACATGCACAGATTTTATTTTTTTTACAGGGGTTATAATTATATTAAATTATGGTATAGCCTAGCTGGTATATTGAGGTCTAATTTCATTTTCAGTAGGTTTAAGTGAATCTCAGTTCTTACACTTGTAATCAGTGAACTGAAATGCTGCACTGTTCTGTTTTTCGTTAGGACGACCAGACCTTCGCCGACAGTTCCCATGCTCATCATGGCTTAGATCACTCTTCCTCCTGGCAGGACCGCGGTCACTTCCTGTCTAGTCCACGATTTTCACACTTTAACTGTGAGTAATTAAGTCCTGTACCCGTTTTTAAATTGGATTGAAAAAGGAAATGCAGCTAATGGAAAGATTGAAATGCAAGGTTAGCACATGATAGTAATAATCACGTTGTGTGTTTGAAAGAGATACAAATAATGCCCCCCCAAGTACATTTACAATATTACTCAGTTTAGTACGGATACATATGAGATCCCCTTTGTGTAGACCTTACCCTTATCAGAAAAACTTGAAACAAATCCCCCAAGGTAATAATCTTAAGCAAAATTTTTGTGTGGAGATCACTGGTAACTGTGGATGAGTGGGCAAAGGAAGTTAGAGGATATCATAATAAAATCCAGATCATCAAAAAGTAGAAAACCTTTGCATAGAACTGTTCAGAAATACATAATCTTTCGCAATGAATAAGGATGTTAATATGATTACAGGCTACATTTCACGCTGTGAATACAGTATAAATGTTGATAAAACGTCATCCACACCAACAAGATGTGAGTGGTCTGTTGCCCCACAACAGCACCTCCCACCACCCACTCCCGCCCCTTCCCTACTCGACTTACCCTTCAAGTTTCAGCTTGTGTTTAATGCCCTTAAAGAAGCCATGGAACTTAAAGTTTTAAGTATGGTTTCTGTTATGAGTGTCCACGATGGACATTACCATTTTTCTTTAAAACCCTTCTGAGAATAATTATGGAGTTATTTGTTGTTTGGGTGACTTATTATTATTATTTTCTTTTTTTTACTGACTCCTCTGTTCTCCAGAGTTGAATCCATGATGACAGGTGCAATGTCTGCTCTGTTCACCACTGTTTCTTCTGCATCTTGCTTAGTACTGGGCACATAGTGAATGCTCAGTTAACGTTAGATGAATGAGTATATGAGTTGGTGTTTTGTTTTTTTAGTTCACTTTTATCCAAACCATTGGGACTCAACTGTTATTTAGTGGGTTATTTAAATAATCACTTAGCTCTTTGATTTACTATGAGCGTAGAGTTTGTCCATTCAATCTGACAATGTTCTTATTTTTAAAAAAATCTAGGTTGCTGTGAAATAAAATACCAAAATATACCAGAAGGAAGTAGGTCAAATCCAAAAGTGGTCTCTCATTTTTTGCTGATTTATATTTTTGGATTCATTGAATAAATATTTATCAGTTTCTGATAATGTTTTGGTTTTCATTACATCATGATTATGTTATTCCAAAAGCTAAGCATTTCCTTTCTCCTGCCTTAACCATTTTTAGCAAGTGATTTTATATATCTGCATAAACCCTCTGGTCTTCCATTCAGACAGCCACCCCTTACTGTGGATTGTTTCTCAGGCTGGTTCTGGTACCTCCGGATCTGATATACATAGGCCCTTAAGAAAGTTGTTCATATTAAGAAACGGAACATTTTCTCAGATCTGCGTGATATATGTAAACGTGGAGGAGGAGGTGGGGGCAGAGCACCGTCAGACGTGCTGTCCCGGCTGGGAAGGTAGCCAAGCGCGGGAAGCCAACAGCACCCCGGTGTGAGCACACCAGCCGTTGCTCCGCTCCTGTTGAGCTGTGCCGCTGTGACTCCAAAAAGGCACCTGGAAGAAAGTGGTTAGAAGGCATTAGGGGGGAACAATCAAGACTTCTAGAATTTTATTTACCATTATGACAGGCAGTGAGACAAACTGTATTCAGCTTTCCACTCAGCAGCATTTCGTGAGCAGCTGTGGTCATTTCTCAGAGATCTGTTCCTCACAGGCAGCCATTCGTTCCTCTAGAACACAGTTAAATGAGAATAGGAAGAAAACATCACTGGGAACATAACTAGGATAAAAAATGGCTGTTGCCTATATTGTAAAAAATAGCTTCAAAAGTAAATCTCCTTCTTAGTTTACTTTATCGATACACTATTTAATTCATTATTAATTCATAGCCTTGTTTTAAACTTCTTTTTGACAAGTTTGTTTATGATTTTTCTCACATACCTACCTAAATGTTTCCCAGGATACTTCTAAAATTTAATCATAGACACCTTATTCTTAACATTTTATGTTATTGAATTAAACTTATTTATAGAAGTCACATTTATTCTTATTTGCTTTTCTAATGAAACTTTAATTTTCTATATATTTTTCATAACGTGGTGTTTTATAAGTGGATTAGAATCACCCTGAATACATCTCCATTTGTGTATCACAAACAATGTCGGCTTATTTATAGAAATTGTTCTGTAATTTTTCTTTAACCTCCTTTTAAACTTCTAAAATCACAAAGGAGAGATGTCAACTCCAACAAAGAGAAAAACAGTGCCTTCAGTAAATTCATGATACAGAGAATTGAAGTTGTCTTTAAAAGTGTCATTAATGCCCTCATAGGTATAAGAGAAAATATTACATCCATTAAAAATAAAAGCAGGATGCTAAGAAAAAGGAACACAAGATAAGAAGTCTCATAAACTTAAAATGTTAAACTAGAAAGGTGAAAAACAAAGTTGAAAAAATCACAAAGAAAGTAGACAAAAAAAAAAATAAAGAATGGGGCAATTGGAGAGAAAAGATAAGATACTGAGTTGGCCAAAAAGTCCATTATGTTCTTTTCCATAAAAGACACATTTTTCATTTTCACCAATTATTCTACTGATTTGGATATTTTGGGTATGTTGGCTATCTTCTGTGTGGTATAATGTTGATTGTTCTCAATTAATGACTCGATTTTATCACTATCAGCTTCAACTGGTCTACCTACCGGACCATGGACCATTGCCCATCGAGAAATCACCAGCATGCAACTTCACAAACCACTTTTGACACATTTGATCAGTCATAACACCTTCTCCATACACTTTACAAATCTTTCTTTGCATTTCAGTTGCATTTTTAGCCTTCTTGAAATAGTAAAGCATAATATGTCAAAAATGTTGCATACTTTCTTTCCTCTTCACTATTAAAATGGCTACACAAAAATTCACCAATTTTGATAAGTTTCTTTTAAATGCACATTGATATGACATCTCTCACAATACAATCTAACAAAATTGTTTCAAATGAAGTTAAAGACAACTAAGCACTACCAGAGCCATCACAGGGGGAAGAAAAACAAACCAATGAACTTTTTGGCCAACCCAATATTTAGAAAATCAGTTCAAGAGAGATTATACCTGATTAGTGAGGGCCTTAGGATAAGAGAACAGAGAAGGCAGAACAAAGGCCAGAAGAGGGCAGGTTCACAAGGCCCACCCAGCAAGACCTGTTGCCCTGCTGTCTTCCAGAGACTTTCCTTCCCCCTCTTCCTATGTTGATGCCCATGGATCCCAGACCCTGTGCCTTTCTCTGCTTGTTTCAATGAAAGGGGCTCTGGCTGCTGTGGCTCAGTGGATTGAGTGCCAGCCTGTGAACCAAAGGGTCACTGGTTTGATTCCCAGTCAGGACACCTGCCTGGGTTATAGGCCAGGTCCTGGTGGGCGGCACACGAGAGGCAACCACACACCGATGTTTCTCTCCCTCTCTTTCTCCCTCCTTTCCCCTCTCTCTAAAAGTAAATAAATAAAATGTTAAAAAAAAAGACAGGGAGATGATTGTTTTGTCTTTGTATTTCTAAAAATGGATTTCTTTTCCACCTAGTGAAAACTTTGAGTGATTATAAAATTTTAGGTTGAAAATGACTTCTGAAGTGATTGCACTATTATTTTTCAAAATCCAATGTTACTGTTGAAAACTTTTTGTCTTTATTGTTTGACTCCTACTCCTTTGAAGTAATCTTCTCCATCACCACTAACTGCTTACTCAGCCCTGGGAACTTCTAGGATCTTTTTAATCCCAGAGTTTTGTAATGATATGCCTCCCAGTGGGTCTTGTCTTATTTACTTTACAAGCTACTTACTTGGTGGGCCCTTTTAATCTGGGCACTCATCTTCTGTTCTATCACATTGAAGGAAGAAAAAAAAGATTCTATCGGGAAAATCTTTGAGAAATAAACACAGAGAAGAATTGATAGATTATTTGCTTCAGTTGAGCACTTCAGAAACAAACTACTAATAGAAATACAGCAGATCTAATTGAGCTATTAGAAACAATTAAGGGTGGTCATGGAGAAAGAGCAAATAAAAAAAACAAAAATAAAACATGAGTCAATTAATAATTCCAGGGAAGAAATTGAGCAAGAAAAGAAACATTTTTATAGTATACCTACTAAGTTTGTGTGAGCTGTGTTTACATAGTCGTAGTAATATAAATACTCACTATTGACATAACTTGAAGTTCAGATGTAACTATATAGGGAGAATGGGGCGAGGAGAAATGGGTGGGTGTGGAGAGGTCTAAAAATGATAAATCAGAAAATAGCAATATAAGCTTCCTTTGTTTACAAAAAGTGAAGTAAATACAGAAAAATAAGTCTAAAAGAGTTGGTTGTGGTTGACTCTAGGGAGCGGGATTGTGGGATTGGGAGGGATGGGGCGAGAGACTGCGGTCTTTCCACAACGTGTAGCCCTTTGGTGCTATTTGATATATTTATGATGTATACCAAGGGTAAAGAAGGAATCTTATTAAAATAAAATGCTATTAAGAAAATCCCAGCTTTTATGTGTGACTAGCAAGCATTTGATTTCCTTGTTAACTTCCGAACACGGAAGCCCGGGGCTGGAGTTTGGAGCAGCTGGACCTGTATGGAGACGTGAGGCGTGGACCACTGTAGGGGCTGAGGCGGGCATGATGAGTCCATGGGTCCGCAGGACGGGCTCCTTGTCACTCGGTTGGGGTCCGTACTGGGCGAGACCCTTTTGTCTATGCTGCACACGCTGAGGCATTCATTCTGCTGACTGCAGTGCCCTGTCAAACTGTGACCAAACTGAAGCGTAGAATCACTGACCATGGAAAAAAACAAAGGAAATGGGAAAATACTGCGTAATTTGTGGTCTCTGAAATGACCCAGCATTAATGAAAGTTTGTTTTAAATAGTAATTTATGTCAGCTTTGTGTAGTTCAGGTCGATTCAAGAAAAGGTAGATTCCTTCTGCCAGGAGGAAGGGGAGAAATGTATAAATTGTAAATTCATATTACCATTGGAAATGGGAACACAGAAATCCATTATTTCGGGCCATGATTACCACCAAATTTATCCTGGCTGGCTAGAAGTCATGGCCGTGACTCAGGACACTCTTTCAGAAGACTTGGATTCCATTCCCTTCAGCCTGCAGACAGTGGGAGCTTAGTAAGAGAGACTCATTATGCCAGCTGTTGAAACCGTCATTTTTACTTTTTATAAGTAGTGACTGACCACTGGTCTCCCACGTATAGCTCCTTTTAGGCTAAAGGAACACACTTCAGGACAGGCCTCAAGACCAGACTCGAGTGAGGCCTGCAGTGATGTGATGACGTCTCCAATTCTCGAGTCCTTTGAGATGAACATGCCTAATGGTTGTGGAGTTGGTACCTCTAAACTGAGTTGTAAGAAGACATGCTGATGGCAAATCTTCTGTAATTCTCAAACTGTTGTAAATGATGTTTATTGTAGTAAATAAATGATCCCCAAAAGACAGGATGATTTTTCATAGGGGAAAAATGTTATCTGAGGATTATTATAGACATTGGAAGTGAATCATGCCTATTAATTTAGCTTGATAGTCTCAGAAAAGTGAATCAATGAAAGTTGCTAAAAAAAGAACTCTATTTCACTTCCTCACCTCAGTTTTCATTGCTATAAAAGGAAAAGAAAAGCTAAGTGTTCTCAGTTCGCGTGATGAGGTGCCTGTCGTGGGAGTTGAAGTCCCTCGGATGAAAACCACCTTCTCCCCAGGAACAGCACTCCCTTCTCCCTCCTGCGTTGTGCTTCAGGACCCACGCAGCTGACGCTGAGTGGACGCTTCACACGTGGCCTGTCCTCGAACGTGTAGAATAAAATGCCAAGGCTTTATGACAGGAAAAGTGTCACAGTACTGATAAGAAAAAAAAATATTTTGTTTTATTTTGGGGGAATGATTTTATTTCACGACAGCACAGCCTTTCTGTCTCTCCATTTTATAGGTTCATTTTACATGATAGGGATTTTTTTGTGTGACTATCTTTTCCCTGACCAGTTAGGTGCCAGAGATTTTTAAATAATTGGGTTCATTGGGATTAAATAATTGGGATTATTGCAGTTTGACAAGGTACTTTGTAGAAAGCAACTGGAAATTTCCCAATGGGCTAACTCTTACAAATTCCTTTATATTCATTTGTTCAGGTGACATTTACTAAGAGGCTATGCATGAGGCTCTCTGTTTGGCTCAGGGGGTTACAGCAGTGAACTGGACAGGCAGGGTCACCTCATCTCATGGAAGGAATAGGTAGTAAACAAGTAAACAATTTAACATGGTGATTGGTGGAATCAAGACAAAATGGTAGAAGATACCTGGAACAGGACCGCTACTTTAAATTAGTGATCCGGAGATGTCTTTCGGAGGAGGTTACCATTGAGTTGATTGAGACCTGAATGGCAAGAAGCAGCAGCTGCAGCAGCTGAGTTAAAACAGAACTGGAAGAGGGAGCAGTGCAAGCGCAAAGGACCCAGAGAAGAAAGGGACATGCTCTAGAGAGAGGGGACACTGAGCAAGTGAGTGAGAGAGAGAAGAGGAGAGAGAGAGGAGGTCCCAGTGGAGCTCAAGTCAGATGTTTGGATTTTATTCTAAGTTTGCTGGGATGCCATTGGGGTAAGGTAGGGTAGGGGGTGTGGATAAGGAGGAGAATGACCTAGTCTGATTTAGCTCTGACAAGTGTGGAGAAAGGGGCAAGATGAAACAGGGAAAGGGAAAATGGTGGCTTGGGCTGGGGTGATGGTGTAAAGCAGAAGAACTCGGGTGAATTTGGAGGCATAACCATCAGAACTTACTCCTAGATTGGATGGGTGGAACAGGCAGGACAAAGGAAGGAAGGAGCCCAGATCTGAGAAACTACGCGATTGAGTATGTCATTTTCTGAGATGGAGAAGAGTACAGGACGGGCAGGCATCAGAGATGAGAAATCACGCAGGAAGATCTCACATAGTTGGAACTCACAAGAGATGGTAAGAGGTGGTAGAAAACAAGTAAATGAAGATTCCAAATCTAGTCTCAATTTCCTTTCGTGTAACCAAGTATATTCTGTAAAAAGGAGTTGCTTAAGATTTCTCCCTCCAAAAGTCTGTGTGCTTTATATCATTATGTCCTGACCACGCACATCTTCCACTCTCGACACTTCAAATCCACCTCCCCCAAATTAAACCACATGAATGTTTTTTGAAAATATAGTACACTGATTAAATTTATTCCTACATTTGAAGGTCTGTTAGGCCATGTAAAATTTAGAGGAAACTAGATGAAATCAATGGTTTCATGTAGTTATTCAGCCTGGGGATTGCATTCAGCTGGGCTTATTTCTCTTTCTCTCTCTCTCTTTTTTTACCTCACCAGCATTTACCACAAGAATGTCTACTCCCAATTCACCTTCAATCAAGGAAGATGCGACAAGATTACCAATGGATGGAACAAGTCTACAATCCAAAAAGGAGGAATACGAAAGCAAAAAAAGCAAAATGTAATTAGTTGCTTTACATGAGTGTTTTACAAACAATAGCATATCCACCCTTGCTGCAACCTGGCCCACATTATCAGGCAGACATGTCTGAAGTTTATGCTCTTCAGCATTGCCAAACATCAACTAAGATAACAATACAGTTGGTCCTTGTGAAAGATACAATTAAACCAATCCAAATAATGTCAGCTTGTGGATGACTTACAACTAACTTATTGGCAACTTGCACCAGCAAAGAAAGTGATATTTTTCACTTTGCATTTTCTTTTTCAGGTGTGCTCAGCCACATCTTTCCAACCAAAATTCAGATTTATAATTGAAGTCTTTCAAAAATGGCTGGCTAAACAGGAGGAAAATGAATTCCCCTTGAGGCTGAATTTGCCAGCACTTTAGATTCAGGGAATATTTATATACAATTGATTTTTTTAAAGTGCTTTCTTTCTAATAAATTATCATGTGTTGTAGCATGCCATGGAAATATGCAAATATTATATTAGCTCACTTTATAAATGCACAGGATTGTTAAATTCATCATCTCAGCAGTCTGCTACTACATGCAGTATCTCAACATTATTTCCAATGACCCATATTAAGTAGCAATAAAGAATTTAATTTACAATGCTATCTGAATTGTAGAGCACTGTAGAGAATTCATTGCACAGTTTATTTATTTGTCTTTTTGTGGCCAAATATCCCACTGTGATCACTTCAGTTGTGTCCTGGACCATCTTTGGTTTACTCTGACCAAAATCATAGTACCAAACTCCCGTGTCTATGAGATTGCTCTGCGAGAGTCCTCATATGATTTGGTACTATCTGTCTACTTTCAGCATCTCAGCTTTTCCAACATCAAGGTGTCTTTAAGAACTTATCGTCATTACATGCCGACGTACCAGTGGAGAAAGATTTCTATTCAATGCTAAATAATGGTAAACATCGAGGCACTAAATCGTCATTGGGTCATGGTGGGAAAATTCTGCACAGAGGCAAGGACAACAAAGCAATCCCTTCCTAATGTGCATCACATTTTGTGTTTGTTAGATTTCTCATCTATCATAAAGAGGCTTCCATTGCCACTCAAGATATGTCTTCCTAACTTAGAATATTTGGATATGCAGAAGATGTGATACTCTCATTCCATGAACATAAATGCTACAGTTACCACAGAAGGTGAAGCTGTTTTATGCCCCCAAATTACATAATGCAAACTACATGACCCCTGAGAGTACAGGCATGCATGTTATCATTTATTCATTCCCTAAAGCTTGTATTGAGTTCTTACTAGAGGCCAGTCATTGTGCTAGGAAGGAAAAAAAAAAGAAACAAAACATAAAAGGAGGTGTTTATGTCCCAAATTTAGTTTGGCATGAGGAATTACATGGAAAAGGGGTGTTGTGCCCAGGCTAGCTGGCAAAATTCTGGATTACAGAACATTAAAGAGGTTTGGTTTGGTTTTGTCTAATCTCAGGACTTCAGGCTGTTAATGTGCTAATGAGCACTATGGGGTTTTGGCAAGAATAGTCTTTTTTTGAAGGAACAGCTCACACCCTGGTGCAGCACATAACCTCTGTCACTCTCCGGTAATATCTGGGCTATTAAGAAATTGTGTCAGTATTGTCATTGCTGTTTTGACCAATATCACAATATGTTGTCACCTTGGATCTGGGAAGAAAATTAACAGGTTTATTCAAACCCTACAGATAACAGTTGAAAACTTTACCCTAATGTATTAGTAGGAACTTCACGCAGTATATTCTGTTTAATAGGAACTAATTTAAACCATTATTAGCACATCTGTGGTCATTTAAAAAAAATTATGTCAAAACAGTGAGACCTGAAAGTTTAAGGTAACTCAGATTATTTACTTGGCAAACCCTTGAAAACATATTAGCTGATGGTTTTATAACAGAATGGAGAGAGACCTTATGAAAGACCTTTTTAAATCTGAAAAATAAAATAAAGCCACTATGTCACATTATTGCAGGTCTTACACTACTTACTGTTGGGTGAATGGAGGTGTCTGACTTTAAATATGAAACACACAAGAACTTCAAAGGCAAAGTCAACTTTTTGAGAGCAATGTGTTGTCGAAATTCTTTGGCCCTCTGTTTATATGGAATTAAATCCAAGGACCTGTCGGAAGATTTTTCCTGTCTCTTGCAGTCCCATAAGCTGGAGTTAGAAATCAAAAAGAATGCTAAGAAAACACTAATAGCCTGATTTGTACATCTCAACGTCAGCAGCTGTTCCTCCCTTACTTACCCCTCTGGCAGCAGAGCAGGTGATACCAGCGCCATCTGAGCTGAGGCTGGTCAGCCATATTGCTTGTAGCCCTGGGACACTGGATGGGATAATAAGCCTTATCCTTACAATGAGCCTGGTCCAAGACTTAATTTGGAGATTGACTTTTTTGGTTTAATAACTTTGAATCTTCTGACCATCTTTCTCTCTAAACTTACTAAGCTTCCAATGAAGTCACTGAAGGCCACAGAGGGGAGAAACAGCTGGGAGAAATCTGGCGTGATGTTTTTCCCATGGGCTAAGGTCTTCATTACTTTGTAGTGCAGTAGTGTCTGCTTTGAAGGTGGGAAACAGATTGAATAACATCTTACACGGCCAGTTTCCCAGAACCAATGACTTGTCTTCTTAGTGTTATACAGTAGTTTACACATTTTTTACTAATGAAGAGATAAAATCTGTAGCTTAACCAAACAGTGTAAGGCATTTGGATTTAAAGGTTACATGGATAAAAAATGCCTATCTACTTAGCTAAGAAAACAATTAAGCCTATTTTTCTTCATTTTTCTCCTTTCAACTGTGGTAAATACATTTTCCATTTTGAGGCTTGGGTCAGTGATATGTAAAGTGCATTTAGAGTCACAGTAATTGTTACATTTTTTCTAATCTGCATTGAACCTTATAGTTAAATAACAAATGCTGTTTTAAGTGGGACCAAATTCTTACGTAAAGTTATGTGGTAAATTTTTCAGCAGACTCTTTTTGTAGGAAGGAGCAAATATCTCGAATTGTTTTACTCGGGATTTATACTGTAACCCCAGCTACACGTGATACGGTAGCCAAGAACGCAAATGATCATTTGGTGATTCCTTTTCTTAGATTCTTCCACTGCTCCACAAACAAACTGTCCCAGTGTTTTCTCTCCATTCAAAACAAAACAGAAAATTTGTGATTTTCATGGCCTTATAGTGAAGAAGCTGTCCTCACGAAAGCATCTGGTTTTCTTGGATCAAAACTAAACCATGAACCTTAAGCTGGAAAGTAAATTTGGGAAAGTTTGTATATAAAGACATTTCATGCACTAAAGTTCAATATAAAAATAGTTACATCTTTCAACTTTCAAGTTCTCAAATATTTAGCAATAAAAACATATCAACTTATCCCTATTTGAGAAAAGAAATTTAAGCCATGAAAGATTCCATTTAGTTTCACTTCCGTACTAAACACGACACATCTACTTTAAGGCCAGGAAAAATGCTTACGTCTAGAAGCAGAACTGTACATTCCAAGCCCCCAAACAAATTTCACAGAAGTCTCCCGTGATTTTGATTAGTAACAAAGTAAACTAATCTGCTCTGCTCTGGTGAAACCAGCTGACCTTCAAGTTCTAACCTGGCCTGCCCTCATCTGAGTCTCTCCTGCTCAGTCCATGCCTATGCTCACATCCTACCTAAATCAAAAGCCACCCCAGCTCACTCGGCGTTCTACCAGGTCAACCCCTACTGTTGACCTCCAAAGTTTAATAGTTCTAGAACCACAACAAAAAGGTAGACTGGGGCATCTGCATATCTGTCAGGACCAGCCAATTAGAAAAGGGTTTAAGTGTCACATGTCTTTTACTACTCTCACGGTTGAAACTCTAAGAATAATACCTTTGTAGCTGGGGGTATCTTTTCTTTGTAACATAGCTGGACTCTGATGTAGTACAAAGTCATGTGACAACCATGGGTGTTGAACTTGCTGCCTTGCTCTCTCTAGGAATATACTGAGTGTCTAAACATAGTTTGTTAGTTCCCTTTCAGGAGGATAGTTAAAGCAATATATAATCCAGTGAACTCTTCCTTTGAAAAGGTAGACTCCTATGCTGTTGAGCATAGAAGGGAGAAATGGGAAAAAAATGCCACTACAGCCAAAATAAAGCCATGCCACATCGATCTTAATAGAATAGCGATTCTAATAGGAATGTGCTATGTTTTAAAAAGTCGCATTTGCACTACTTGCCATTCCCTGTTTTTCTCGAACTGGCAGATGCAGGACTTTCATGCCCACGCTGTCTCCTATCATCTCTCAGTGGATTCCCACAGCTTGACACCCACTCATTTTTTATTCTTCAGTAAAGCATTTTGACTGAATATTTAAGTAAAAACAAAAGTCACAATTTAGCCTCAGATATTGGCACAGTGTGTCATCTTAGCTGTATACTTCACTGGAAATAAAAGATCATAAAACTGGCTTGAAGCAATATTTTTTAGAATAAAATTAGTGGATGTTAAATTACCAACAGTTCAGATGTTGTAATTTAAAAGTAAGAAAATATCATTCTGAGGGAAAGGAGGGTAATATTATGTTCTCATTAGTCACTAATTGACAGTCTGCTTTAAATTCTATTTAGTATTTTCTTAAAATCATATTTTTTTAAATAAAAAGGATGTCTTATTTTTATAGTATTAGGTTTTCCATCCAATTAGAGTTTCCTTTTGTTTGTTTCCTTAGAAATTTTTCAGTTTGGAGGCAGGTGTATTTTTGAGTCATTGAAGCCACCAAGAGTTCAAATGGCTTTTAAAGGCCCCAAACAGCTGGGCCCACGATGCAAAAACTTGCGCTTCAAGAGCTTGCATCTCTCTTTGTTTTTGAAATACTGTATTTTAATTGCAAATGTTTCCCTCTAGTGTCTCTCCTTTATTTCTTTCTCTGGGCTTCACAGTTGAATGCTCAAGGGTCTTTGGAAGCAACTTTGTGTCCTTGGTTTGGGCCAGCCCGTGGCCTGGAGTCCTGCTTGCTTGTCCTGTGCGTTCATTTTAAGCCATCAGGGTGAGGGCAACCCTAGAGACTTAGTGAGATTAATAGACGAAACACAATTTTTTCCTCCTGGTGTGGGCTGCTCTGTTACCCAGGTGTGAAAGGCTACTTACTCTTGGTAAAACAAGCGTGTTTCTCTTCATCCCTGTGTCCTGGCTCTCAGCTAATTTTTAGAGCAGTTTTTTTATGTGCTTCATTTATCTGGAGAACCTATTTAGTCACCTTCTCTATCTTATTCTGAAAATGTGTGTCATGTTGTACATATGATTTAAAATCTAAATGTCTAATATACCCCTTTAGCAAGCTTTTTTTTCTCTTTTCGGTTCTTGGAGCTAGCTATTATCAGGTCATTCTGCATAACTCATATTCAGGGTTATCCCTAGGGCAGTGGTAGTGCTAGTTTAGATTTTGTTTGTCCCTTGTCGCTGAGCACTTAGCTGGATAAGGAAATGAAGGATGGCAGGAGTTCTGTAAAATGATATGAACACAGAGGAAGCTGGGTTGCCTTCAATAACGTACATTTTAAACAGCACACTTGAAAGAAAAAGCTGCAGTAGCACTCCATCCTGTATCTGCTGTGGGGTCCTGGAAGGCAGTGTTGTGAGACGTCCTGCTGAACTTGGTTTGTACTGCAAAGTCCTATCCCTGATGAAAGACTCACTGAACCTTCCTGTTCTTTGTGGACTTCGGCTAGCGTTATGGGCGTGGATGCAAAGTGGCCTCCCTTCAGAGAGTTTTCAGTCTGCGTGCCCTGTGCTTGTCTGTCATTGTGGATTTCCGTCTCATTTGTGCCATCACTAAACCCGCTGTAATGTGGAGATTCAGGCTTGATTTATGGCTTAGCATTTTGAAAACTTCCCATCAAACAGAAGCTCAGGTTGTCCATGACCGGTAGTCAAATAGCCATCTAACATGGTGGCTTTGGGGAAGTTGGGCAGTTAAAAAAGTTTGGAGAAACCTAGGAATTTTTGCCCCTTTCTTTTTTTCTGAGCTGAGTAAAATAGATGCATCAGTTCTAACGAGGCACTTCCTGCCCCAAGTCACTGGCAGAGCTGCCTCCTCCCAACAGCTGCAAGCTTGAGAGACCTCACGCTGCTGGCCAAGGTTCGTTCTGTGCTTTGAGTAAGACCACAGCCAATAAAGCCAATGTGTACCATGGAAAGAGTTTCCCATTTTTTCCATTGGAGAAGTCTTTCGTGAGGTTAGTTTGAGTGTTCCAAATTAACAGTGGTGGTCAGTGCTAAATTTTTAATTTTAACTGCATGTAAACCTGCTCACTAGATTTCATTGAGAATAAATCAGTGTTCTGTGAGGAAGTGACATATCCTTTTGTGTAGTATTCTTTAGAGCACTGGTTCTCAAAAGTGTAGCCCCCAAACCGGTGGCGGCGGCGGCAGCAGCAGCAGCAGCAGCAGCAGCAGCAGCAGCAGCAGCAGCAGCAGCAGCAGCAGCAGCACCTGGAAGCTGGTTAACTTCGAGATTCTCTGGCCATCTCCAGGCCTAGTGATTCAGAAACCCTGGGGCTGGAGCCATTTAGTATGTGTTGTAACAAGTCCTCCCGTGACTCTGATGAATGCTCAAGTTCAAGTGACCTTCATTTGATTATAACATCCTCTGAGTTTTAGTCTATCACAAAAGAAAAGAACATGGTTTATTTTCCAGGTGATGTGCAAGGGCACCCTTTTAAAATTTGGTTTTTAATAGCATGTATTCTCCCAGGGGTCCAAGTTATGAGTCCAGTCTGAGGGTGACTCGGGTGAAGAACTTAAAGCTGCTTCCAAAGATAGTTCATTTACTACCAGAAGTCTCTTCCCTACCTGCTCTGCCCAGGCGACTTCGATTAACCAGAACTTTCCGCCTAGATTACCATCGAGGCATTCAATTAAATCAGGACCTATAGGTGTAGCTCCTCTTTCTGGTTTCAAGAGTAGAACAAATATT